CACACGTCATTAGGTCGAGACACACACACACTTTGTTACCACATTCCTGTCATCTGCATGAATTAGGACCTGGCCTGTTCGCCAATAGGACTTGGTTGTGTCCAGTCCTCCTTTGAGGAGGCGGATGGAGCCCAGGAGATAATGCCCATCACCCAGATCTCAGGGCTCTTTGCCCACTGAGAAGTTTTTGTCTGTTAGAGCCCAGCTGTGTCCAATAATTGTCATTTTTATACTTTTGATCCACTCTGGTTTATTCTCAGGTTTCCAGCTACAGAATCGGGCTAAGAAATGAGTCAAACTCGAGCATGAACGAGTGTTTCTGTGTGAGAGGACGACAATAAAGCTGCTACAGAAGATGACGGGTGATCTCATAACTGCCGGTGGCCACGTCAAAGCTGCACATTCAGGAGTCAGATAGCAGGAGCTGAGCTGCCACTCTGAGAGCCAGAAAAGCAAATACGTGTTTTTATGAGCCCAGAAAAATCTGAAGATCCAGCAAAAAAAAAAAAAAAAGTCCTGTGCGGTGTTTGTTCAGCCTCCTCCAGTTCTTCTGTCCTACTTCTGCAGCCGCCGCGTCTTTCAAGTCTGCTCCTGTCACACAAACGCTTTCTCCACAACAACCAGAGAGGAAGAAACAGAAAAACACACGCGGGCTAATTGGAGCCGGGGCTGTTTTTCTGGAGCACGGCGGTCTGGTCGCTGCCACAAACCGCAGTCAGCAGAAAAAAAAAGCAGAGCGGGGCATCTGGGAGAATCTCGAGCTGTTGACAGGATCAAACGCTGGTGAGAAATGTAAAAAAAAAAACTAACAACCAAAAAATATCAGAAGCAAGTGTAGCCTTAAAAAACCGAGGGAAGAATTTCCAAGTCCAAAACTCTAACTCTAAGTCACAGTCGTGCTGATTTAAGCTTTAAAGATCATAGACGGCAGCAGGATGTGTTCTTTCCACTCTGGGGAGCTAAGAGGTTCTTTCCGATGATGTTTTAAAGATTTTTTGGTATTTCATTGAGGGCTTTTGGTGCTCTTGCAAGAACCGGATCAAGCACGCAAGCACAAGTCAAAAATTTGGGATTCTGATTTTCGTTCTTGGCCCCAGAGGAGCTGAGAAAAACAAACTGTAAAATACTAACACATCGTCTCAAAACAAAGCCTCAGAAGGTGAATCTGAGCCTCCAAAACACTTCTCTGAACATCTGAGGAAGGAGTGGAGACAAAAAGCTCTGTTTAGAGGCACAAATAAGCCTGGAAATATGCTAATTTTACCCCAAAAAATGACCAAAAAGGGAAGCACTAAGTGTCAGTAGAAGGCCCACTTCCAGGAGCCTCACAGATGGGAGCCAGAGCGACTCCCGGCTGGAGAAAAGTTTCTGTTTGAGTTTCGGGTGCCTGACAGATGCCTGACAGCCGCCCGCTGACGGCTCAGGCTGGCCTGTCACACTTTCCAGAAAGTTAGCTTTCTCACACCCTCAAAACAAGTGGAGGAGACTGAAATGGGTCACAGCCAGACCCCCCCCCCTCCCTCCCTGTTTCACAGAGGTAAGCACCCCCTTTCTGGGAGTGGCTAACAGACCATATATGTTTATATTTCTGTTTATGCATTTGGCAGACGCTTTTATCCAAAGCGACTTACAGAGTAGACACAATATTACATTTATCATCACTATGACAATAAGCTATATAGAGGAGAAACACTGATCAGAGTCAGTGGTGAGATAGAGATAGAGGTAGAGGGACTACAGAAGGAGTTGTGGGGGGGTAGAGGTACGGGTTAGGATTAGGGTTAGGATAGGAGCTGTGGGGGATAGAGGTACGGGTTAGGGTTAGGATAGGAGCTGTGGGGGGTAGAGGT